TTAGAGTTTCCACTGAAAAGGCAGGTGTTATTCTAATATAACCATCTTTATATATGTGACTTGGCCTTGCCCCTTGAACTTACATAATTTCTTGTTCTATATATTTAGTGTTTTATCATGTGTTGGGGAAAATTTCTGGTACAATCTATTTGGCATTCTGTATGCTTCTTGTACCTGGATAGGCACCTCCTTCTTTAGGCTGGAGAAATTTCGTTTTTAATTTTGTTAAAAATATTTTCTGTGCCTTTAGTTTGAGTTTCTTCAACTGCCTCTATCCCAAGTATTCACAGATTTTGTCTTTTTGTAACGTCCTGGACTTCCTGGATGTTTTGTACCTGGATTTTTTTTTTAGATATAACATTTTCTTTGACTGACCTATCAATTTCTTCTATCTTATCTTTAAGACCTGAGATTCTCTCTTTCATGTCTTTTAATCTGTTGGTGAGGCTTACCTCTGAAGCTTTTGTTTGACATCCTGAGGCTTTCATTTCCAGTTCTGTTTCACTTTGGGTTTTCTTTAGTGATTCTATTTCTTTGTTAAATTCTACTTCCACGACTTGAATTGTTTTCACCATTTCATTCAACTGTATGTGCTTTCATGGTATTCACTGAGGCAGTTATTCAGATCCTCTTTACTGCTTTTCTCAGGGCTTACTGCAACAGGGCTGCTGGGTCTGGAGGAGGCATACTGTCTTGTTCATGTTTATGCTTCTGCACTGGCATCTAGGCATCTGGAGACAGACTGAAGTGTTTGCTGTGTAGACATCTGGTCTTGTCTTTGTAGGGTGTGGGCGGGTGTTTTATTCTTTGGTTGCTGTTGCCTACTCTGTGTCGTAGCTAAAGGTGCTGGCTGTGGGGTCCCTGGTAGAGTGCTTCTACAGGTTGGTGGGTATCACAAGAGTGGAGATGGGTTAGAAGCTAAGGCTACAGGAAGGAATTAGAGGGATCCTGGCTCTGCCTAGGGTGATTTTCAAATACAGAAACAAACACAGTTTTATATAATAAAAGAAGTTCCTGAGGAAATTTCATTTTAGACCTACTTAAAGCACTTGTTTTACTTATGAGTTCCCAATAGGACAGGGTCTCAAGTATACCAGGTTCACCATGATCTTGCCACACTGCTGAACTCCTAATCTTATTTCCACCTCCTGAGTGCCAGGATTATAAGTCTAAGCCACCATGTCCGGCATGGCTGCATACATTCTTTACAGACTGCATTGTTTAGAAATCTACATTTGAAAGGCAAAGTTGAAAACATCAGAGAGAGTTCTTTCAGAACTAAAGTTACTGTGGTAAACCATCTGTGACCAGAATGGGAGAAATCCTTAGATAAACAATGAATCTCCAAAGGAAATAAATAATAGGAATTTGTGGTCTGCTCTATGGTCAATCCACTATAGCACAGTGGTTCTCATATTTACCCGTTCCTTCTCCTCAGACCTGAACTCACCAGGAGAGCGGGGCTGCTTTGACCTGATCCCAGGACAGATTTAGGCTGGGACGCACATCAGCAGAGGTAACTGATGATGAGATCCTAGTCTGTACCCGACTAGAAGCTATGCACATATATTACACTGCCACATAATCCCTCGCAGGACTGCATGTTCAGGGATGAAAGCTGAGAAGCTGAAATCTTATCACAGTCAATGCATAGCATCCAATCCCGATGCTGCATCTACAGGGCTTTATTAGAGCACCAAGTTTCAGCCTTGATATACAGGAGAAAAGGATCTAACTTTCTTGTTGGTCTGCTGAAAAGTTAAAAAAAATTTAAATGTAGACTCAAGGAAGGAGAAGGCAAGGACTGGGAGAGGAGGCAACTGGTTATAGCAACAGATACATTACTCTACTGTCTACCTGTTTTTTGATAGTAGAGCAGGGCAGCCTCTACTATCTGTCTATTTTCTGTTAGCTTGGAATCTTATTTTTCTCTCCATCCCAAATCACGACGCAGTGTCTTCTTGTTCATATAGTCACCAGCCCCTGCCATTTTCCAGCTGTCTTTATCCACAGTTCCCCCACATTCCATGTCACCACTCTGTAGCCTTGCTATGGGCTATGTCACTGTACTGAATCAAAGAGCTTTTTCTGTACGCCCCTTCCTCCTTCCAGCTGTTTGGACTCCCTACCCCAGTTCATTTGTTCTGCAACTTCACTGAGCTCTCTTCACAGTGAAATTTCTTTTTCACCCAATCCAAGTCACTTTTGTTTTTCCTCTCTTTTCTTTCTCAGTGGTACTTTGTTTGAATTTATTTTTGCAGCAATTGGCTGCTTATTACTTGGGTATCGCCCTGTGACTATGGGATGGCAAGGATGCCACCTAGTGGTGAGAGAAGAGAATATACCATATAATTTTGGATCCCGAAAATAATGGTTTTATATGACCCTGTTAAAGAAGTGCGAGGATGTAGCTCAGTGGTAGAACATTCACATAAACATATACAAGGCCCTGGACTCAAAGTCCATTTTCTATTTTCCTTCCTCAAGCCAAAATCTTCAGGAACTCCAACTGGACCAAAAATACATTCAATAGGCCCTGCCTCTGTAACTTCTGATTCGGCAGAAACATATGGAGAAACGAATCCACTTACTATCAGCTAATAGGCTGCTGGCACTGGCCTAGCTGTGTAGTCATCAACTTTTCTGAAAAAAGAAACTCCTGTCCACATTTGGATGATGGTTTAAATACATCCAGAAAGTAGAGATAAAACCGGAAGATTTAGGGTTGGTGAGATGGCCAGCGGGTAAGAGGGCAACCTGATGACCTGAGGCTGATCACTGGAGCTGACTCGTGCAGACTGTGTGACCTCCACAAGCGTGCTGTGGCATATACATGCCCAAACACAGACACGTATAATCAACAAATAAGTAAGATGTAATAAAAATATTTTAGTGAGAGATTTAAAGACAGAATATCAAAATGTCAAATGCTGACCGTCTCACCAAGTGTACAGCAGCATCTCTTTATCTCCCAGACTTCCTTCTGAGGGTCTGGATTTACACCTTCTATGTAAATGGTATGCACTGACTAATGCTCTTCTTTATTCTTTTCAACTTATTTTTAACCAATAAACATACATTGTACATATTTATGGGGTACCATGTGGATATTTTAATATGTGTATACTGTGAAATGTTTAAATTGGGTTAAATTCATCTATTGCTTCTTTTTTCTTTTTTAATTTTTCTTGACAGGGTTTCTGTGTAACAGCTCTGGCTATTCTGGAACTCTCTTTATAGATCAGGCTGACCTCGAACTCACAGATCTGCCTGCCTCTGCCTCTCAAGTGCTGGGACTAAAGGTGTGCATAACCACTGCCCTGCATCTATTGCTTCTTTTAAACATGCTTATATAGGAGCTGATAAAAATGAGAGAAAAGATGGAAATATAGCTTAAACAGATACCACTGTGTCTCAGGTTCATCACCTGAAAGCATTCTGAGCACTTTTGCCAGCCCTGGTGTGACTATGCGCCAACTGGTCACAAGGGTCCAGCCCTGGTGTGACTATGAGCCCGCTCGCTGGTCACAAGAATCCAGTCCTGGTGTGACTATGCACCAACTAGTCACAAGGGTCCAGCCCTGGTGAGACTATGGGCCTGTTGGTCACAAGGGTCCAGCCCTCATGTGACTATTTGCCCGCTGGTGACAAGTGTCCAGTCCTGGTGTGACTATGTGCCCGCTGGTCACAAGGGTCCATCCCTGGTGTGACTATGCGCCAAATGGTCACAAGGGTCCAGCCTTGGTGTGACTATGCGCCAACTGGTTACAAGGGTCCAGCCTTGGTGTGACTATGTGCCTGCTGGTCACAAGGGTCCAGCCCTGGTGTGACTATGCGTCCACTGGTCACAACGGTTCATCCAGCCCTGGTGTGACTATGTGTCCACTGGTCACAAGGGTCCAGCCTTGGTGTGACTATGCTACTGCTGGCCACAAGTGTTCAGGCCTGGTGTGACTATGCTCCTGCTGGTCACAAGGGTCCAGGCCTGGTGTGACTATGCAACTGCTGGTAACAAGGGCCCTTAGGGAGCACACTGAGATCAGGTAGGAGTGGCACAGTCATCTCATCCCTTTCCCAACTATAAAAGAAGAAGCTGGTGGCTCCAGCTTTTTTGCTTCTGGATCTAGACAACAGTAATTAGAAGGTTAACCTTCTGCTATTTTGTTATATGAAATGTTCCCCCTTTGAAAATTAAACCCAAAGAACTCAACAGAAATTCTTCTATGGAGAGCAGACTAAATTATTGGTGACCAAATTTAGAACCAGAGCGAGCCACTACCACAAGCTATTTATAGTTCATGAACTCCGGAAAGACCTTCCACCGCCATAGTGGCTTTTGTTGTGGCATTTGGCATCTTGTTTTCTAACTGAAGATTTGCTTTAAAAATAATTATTCATCCAACACAATCTGGAGCAACAACTCCTATCAGAGCATTTCCAAAGCCCTTGAAAATAAGTCTTTAAAAAATTAAAAAATACAAGGTTAAAGATTAAGGAATGGCAAAGCCACACTCTTCCTTCCAATTCTCAAGAAACCAAACACCATTTCCAAGGCGCCTTGGCGATTTGTACACTGCATTGTACACTGTGCTTTTACTCTTAATTCCTAGACTCTCTTCCTTACAATAAAGCTGGATCTCTTTGTCAAAATTAACCTTTTTTTGGTCTAGAAACCACTAAAGAGTCAGTAGCCACGGCCTTCGCTACCACACAGTTTAATGACAAGGCGGAGTGTTCTTTACCACTCCATAGTGAGAGCAGGCAATGTCAGCACGTGGTGGAGTCAGCTGAGATTAGTTACCAGTATGCTCAGTTCCCGTTTGTTTTGCTTTTAAAGCATGCATATATTAGGTCTGTGCTATCATCTAGTACTTTAAGGTTTTCCGGTAATTATTAAAAGCCTACTAAGTCCCAAACAACTGCCGATCACCCTGAAAAGACAGTGCACACCAGAAATTCAGTAAATTGTTGAGCTGTCTGACATGCGAAGGCAAGGTTACCTGGCAATGTCCGGTTGTGGATCCACCAGAGTGCTGACGAATCGAAAGAAGAGACAGCCCTTCCATTTCACATATTCTTCCTGTACAGGATAAAGAGAGTGTATTTCAGTTGGATTTTAATATGCAAACATCAGACATAGCAAGGTGCAGACATTTGCTAACTTTTCTTTATGCTGGCTACTGGTCCATCGGGGACCTGAAATTAGTTTGATAATGTTTACTACAACCTCTTTGAAAGCACATAGCATTTGTTCATTCAAAGAGATATAGAGGAGTATTTGGTCAAAAACATACCAAACCTATGGTGTGAGGAAAATAACACAAAGAACATCGTTTAATGGGCAAATTCACTGGTGCCTCTGTAAGGTACATAATGCATGAGAAGAAAAGCTTATGAGTGTATAGAAAAGATGTAAAACTTAGTGAATACCTCGTTTTTAAAAATTAAATATTCCCTTCTCATTACAGGCTAATACCAAATGCTCTATTCAGCACTACAGCTCAAGATGTTTGATAGACTGGAAACAGTGCACTGGCCTTTTGTAGCAATGCTGTAAGACAGTGCATCCCAAATATGATCTACATTCTAAAGCAAGAGCCATCATGACTGAAACACATGGACTTGGCTGGAGCCGCCTATCCCCAAGCACTTCTCTCTGCAGGTCTACAGACAGAATGGCCCTGCTTCACAGGATTGCTGTGCAAATATGCCAGTAGCACTAAACACTAGAAGATATTCTAAACCAGAAATGAGAATAATTGTCTTTGATTCTACGACAAAGCAAGCATATTATTGTTAACTGAATATTCCCTAAGCCAGCATGATAAGCAGAAAAGGGCAGCCCGACTCCTATACACACCTGTAAGAGGTTGGTAAGCAAGATCAGTGTCTGCTTTCGGATAAATGGATCTGAATCCTTCAGACAAATGGAAATATTGGGAATATAATTGTCCACCATGACAGTGTACCGGATACAAAGATCACACATCACAATGATGACATTGTTGCGGACGGCCCCATCCTCACACACTTCAAGCTCTCGCACAAGGGCTGGGATGCTTTTCTTTGCAAGGTCTTCATGCTGTAAACACAGTTTACCTATGGCAGGAAAGAGTCCACACTATGGGTTACAGAGTAAACAGATGCCCCAAATCACAAACAACAACAAACTCACAGACAAATATTAGAATGTTTAAAAATAGCATTTAGAAAAATAAACTCCAACACAAGTTTCTTGAGACACATGATTTTCCCTCTGCAAAAATCGTCTTCTACTTAAAGTCACCCTTTGAATTTTATAGTTACCCACTTATTCACAAAATTATCAGTAAAACCTAACACATTTTAGTTTTGATTATACACATGCTCTAAAAAACCTTTACTGAATAAAAAATACAGACTAGATAACAGGAAAGAATGTTGCCTGACTTATTTGATTTTTTTATTCATAGTTAGGAGGAGGCTGCTAAATTATATTCCCTGGCGTGCTGCTTTGTGGCCTGGGGAATGTTTTGTTCCTACTTGTAATTCCTAGCTATTTTTAAAGTAACCAATATCACAAAAACAAAAAGCCCCAAACCAAACCACAGCCATGACAAATGTCTACTATAAAATACACAATCACTTTTAAAGACAGAGTATTTTAATGACAGCCACAGGTCAGTGTTTTCATGATGAGCTATTTGAGCTGATGGAGAAATGAGCTTGCAGCTCATCTGTCAGTTCTGGAAAACGTTAAATAAGCCATCTTGCTATATAAACTGGACTTCAAACTTTCCCCTCCTGAGACCCAGTGTAGTATCTACAGCACAGTTCTTTGCATTTGTGCATGCATGTGTATCCATAAGTCCCAGAAGACAGCCTTGAGTGTTCTCAGGCACCATCTTTCTTTCCCTCGAGATGGGGCTTTTCACTGGCCTGGAGTTTGCCAAGCAGGCTAGGCAGGTGGCCGGGGAGCATCAGGGATCTGCCGGTCTCTGCATGCTCAGGACTGGGATTAGGGGCATGGACCAGGGGATTTGGCTTTCTTAATTATTTTTTATTCTAATGTACTTTAGGTCATTGGGTATTTTGCCTGCATGTATGTCATTCATGTGCCTGGTGCCTGCAGAGGCCAAAAGAGGGAATCAGATCTCCTAGAACTGGAGTTACTAGCAGTTGTGAGCTGTGGGTACTGAGAATTGAACCTGGGTCCTCTGGAAAAGTGCCAGTGCTCATAACTACTGAGCCAACTCTCCAACCCCCTGGCCTTTTTAAAATGTGGCTTCTGGGGATCACAATTAGGCCCTTGTGTTTATGAGCACTTTATAAACTGAGCCATCTCCTCAGCCTCTGAAATACACTTCTTGATAGATTTCACGAGCTATGCTGTGATTATGTGTTTAACAAAACAAACCAAAACAAAAGCTCTATAAAAACAGAAAGAAGTATAATAGTAATTAATTATCATAATCATACAAAAAACTCCATGTGTATTATAATGGTTTATATGTAAACATCCCACTTAGGTCATGTGATTCAACACTTGGTTCCCAGTTGACGATGCTGTTTTTGTGAGGTTAGGTTAGAGGCTGGAGGCATAGGTCAGTGTGGGAGGGATTTTGAGGATGCTATCTCAGCCTGGCTTCTGAGGAACCTCACTTCCTGTCCTCTACCAGTGCTTCCTTGCTTTCACTCTGTAAGATGCACGCACTGGAGTTCCCCTGTCAGTATTTCATCACAGCAATGAGTGACAGCCTCCAGGGCTCTCACTGGGTGCTGTTACATCTGCAGCGCTGGTCCCTCACACCAGCATGAACTCTTAAAGTCAAGCATAGCACATTACTGTGGTTAAGCTGATTTGAGACAAAAGCTACACAGACTACGGTCACATTTCCACCATGGCACCCTTACCTAAAGTGATGACGGCATGTGCTCTAATCACGGAAGGCATGGCAGAGCTGACCTGGAAAGGCAGCTGACCGGCTAGGGCATCTGTGGTCCCTTGAGATGATGGTACTGTGGGGAAGGGAGAGGAAACGATTATTATTGAGACAGTTAATGAGGCTCAGGACAGAATGGTGCAGGGGTGACTTCAAAGGCCTTACAGTGATCCACATGAGAAGAAGAAGCCAGAATAGACTGGATTAGAAGGAAGATTCGCTTCTCCACTATAGCTGGACATAACTGGCCAATATCTCCTATGGTAAAAATACATTTCACCTGCAAAAAGAATTGATATTGCAGTAAAAGCAAGGCAAAAAGAACATAAACTCTAGCTAAGTAACATGTGAAACGAGCATCGTTTTGTTTCACAAATTACAAAAAGATCACTACTTTTTCAGAAAATATACATGACTATTAATAAAATTTGGTTGCTACTTAATAAAATTCATTCCAAATTAGAATGACCATATCATTTTATCATCTAAATCTAGACATTTCTGTGAATAATTGAAACTTCTATTAATAATTATGTTGTGATAGAAGGTGTCATCCCATCATATTAACATATACAGCAAGTGTTTAAAGAATATGAAAATGCCATGCGAAAGCTGTGGGTTTCATAATAATTTTGCTGAGTATTCTACAGTTAGTGGGTAATTCTTTCTTCCTTCCTTCCTTCCTTCCTTCCTTCCTTCCTTCCTTCCTTTCTTTCTTTCTTTCTTTCTTTCTTTCTTTCTTTCTTTCTTTCTTTCTTTCTTTCTTTTTTGAGACTTGAGTTTCTCTGTGTAATAGCCTTGGCTGTTCTGGAACTAGTTTTGTAGACCAGGCTGACCTCAAATTCACAGAGATCCACCTGTCTCTGCCTCCTGAGTGTTGGGATTAAAGGCATGCACAACCATGTTTGGTGTGGGTATTTATTTATTCCTACAACAGCCTGGTGAATACCTCATGAAACCAGCTGTTTAATTTTCCTAGAAGTGAAATCCAGACCGACAGTGTACATAAACAGTCTGGGAGTGGTAGAAATCATTGGCCTAGCAATCAAGGTCCTGTGTTTGATCCCTAGCACTTCAAACTAAATTTGTTTTGGATGGGTGGTCAAATCTCTCCTTTTATTTTGCATATTACCAAAGCTCAGCTCTATTCCCACAGGGCTATGTTCTAATGTTTAAATAGCCCAGAAGACATGTTAGAATTATTTTAAAAGTCAAAAGTCCAAACAGGCACTGGAGATATATCAGCAGTTAAGCACACTTGCTGCTCTTGCAGAGGACCTGAGTTTGGTCCCTAGCAGCTCACAATGCCCGTGACTCCAGCATCATAGCATCTAATAATGTCTTCTGGTTTCCAGTGTCTGCAAGCACACATACACAAACATACACATAATGCAAAAAACAAAAACCAAACCCCAAAAAGTAAGCTATAAAAGGCTTTTCCCCAACAATAGCAACTGAAACTCACACTCCACAATCATCTTTGAAGAAACCCTGCTGTAGGAAGACTAAGAAAAAGCAGCTGCTTACCACCAGGTCTTCATTCATGTGCCCTGTCCCATCTTCCTTCAGAAGGACGTCAGAGAGGTGGTGCTCGCAGGTGGAGAGCACATCCCTGCACACCTGCTTCAGCAGTTCCTGCACAAGTCACAGGTTAGCTCTGAGGGGGCTCATGTGGCTCAGATGACTCCCCAAGCCCAGTTCTCACGACCTCCAGGCTCTTGGAAGGCATGGAAGACCCCAGTCACCACACCCACGACTTTCACCTTTCTCCTTGCTTGTCCCACACCACAGCAACGCTTGCAGCAACCTAGTCATGGGAACCGGCTAGGGCAAATGTTGAAAGAGTATTGTGTCTATCATCTTTCCTTTTACATTTGCTCTAGAAGAGCAAAAGGCAGACATAAAATCTGGTTCTCACATCTATAAACCACCTTTAACAGCAGTGCCTTCTGATAGTAGAGGAAAAATGGCAATTCTACCACACACAGGTAGAGAAGTAGCTATTATAGCTAGTGCTTCACTTTTAATAGACATAAAATAAGGACTGATAGTAGGTATGGTAATCTTAGCACTTGGGTGGGGGAGGTGGGAAGATCCTGAGTCCCAGTTTGGTGTAGGCAAATGGAGAGCTCCAAGCCAGTGTGGCTACACAGCTAGACACTCCACATATCAGGGATCTGGAGATGGCTAAGCACTTAAAGAGTGCTTGATCCAGAATCATGAGGTCTTGACTTCAGATTTCAGCACATAGCAAGCCAGGCATCCCTAAAAACGCCTGTCCCAAAGTGGGCAGAGACAAGAGGATCATTGGGGCTTGCTGCTCTCCAGCCTAGCTGAAGGTTAAGGCCCAAGTTCAGGGGAATGATCATGCCCAAAAATGAATAGGTATGCAGGGATAGAAGAAGACACCCAACATCCTCTTCTGGTCCAAGATATAGACATAGACAGACAGACACACACACACATAGCAGTTGTTACTCTTCTGTAATATTTTAGGTACAGGTTTTTAGTGTTTCTTATTGACTAAAGAAAGTTCCAGGGGGTCACTGCCACTCAAAACATATAACCACATTTCCGTGCCTAAGAGCATTCTCAAAATCCCAAATTCTAGTACTTCATTGGCTATTCCACAATACTTAGGTGTAACTGTTTCCACAGAAGTGAACATTAGGACACATCCTTCTATCTTAGGGAAACTATTGCAATGACATTACCTGTCACATGTATGTCAGGTGCACTCAAAGACTATCTTAGGAGTCACCCGGTGCAAGTGATACTAGAACAATATGGTGTCACATCAGCACTTGCCAAGTAGTAGAAAATCACAAACACACACACAAAAAAACATAATCTGACTTAGTCTAGCAATTTTCAAAACTACGGTGTTTATTACTCTTTCTCTGTGTAGCCCTGGCTGTCCCTGAACTCAGAGATCCACCTTCCTTTGTCTCCTGAGTGCTGGGATTAAAGGTGTGCACCACCACCGCATCACACCTATGACTCTTAATAGATTAGACATCACTTGTTGGCCAAGAGAGAGCCTGAAATCAACAGGCCTTGATCCCTAGGAAGAGAGAACAGCTGACTTGTATAAACAGCCTAAGACAAGGACCTGGCTGAGCTGAAGTAACTACTCAGAACCACAGAGCCTGGGAAAACTGTCACTGCCAGACAGTTTGGGGATCCTTGCTACACAACACCTACTGTCCAGTTTTGGCACAACTTCTTGTGAGCACCTTCAGGTTTTCTTCAGTTGACTGAAATTTGCTCCTTTATAACTTCCAAACACTTGTATATATTGAGCATCTGAGTACACCAAACGAATTTAATTCTTTCATGTTAAAGTCTTCACACATCTGAATTCTGCTAGGCAGCTTGTCTCACATAGCTTCTTACATGCTACACCATTTGCTTCACAAACCCCTCATCTAAATGTCTTCCATATAAAGTCCATTTGTCAAGTTGTTTCTAAAATGGTGTCTCTGAAACTGCGTTAAAGAAAACGGCTAGGACTTAAGTTTAGCTAGGACAAAAGGGAGGACATGACCAATGCCCTCTTATTCTAGACACTTTCCCCACTGATACAGTCCAAGTTCTTATCAAGAGTGTAATGACATCCACAGAAGTTCTACTCTTACCAAGCTTACAGATACCAAACATGTTCAAGATCGCTATCTAAGTGTACAGCTGAGAGGGGCACTGACTGTCTACTCTGATCATTTCTTGTTCTCAATAAAATACAGAGCACTTATTTACAGAGGACGAGGAAAAGTGTATTTATAGTGACTCAAGTACCCTAGCAGGCCAGAAAAAACTCGAGGTCTTATTCTACTGCTGACTGCCATGGGAGATGCTGGCCAAATAAATAAATAAATAAATAAATAAATAAATAAAAATAATGATAAATAAAATTAAAAAAAAGCCGTTTTCCTATTGAAGGGAGCAGGAAAAAGCACCTTAGCCTTAGTACTGTCATTTTGACTTCAGACTCTATTTTACCTATTGGATGAAGCACAGTTCAAGCTCCCAAGCCCAAGAGAAGCCGAGAACTTTCCAATGGCTCACCCACCCCCTCTTTAGACAATAGAAGCAGTCTGTTATGTTCCTTAGTTCTTTAAAACATATACTGCTCCTAACAACAGAAAGAACAAATGAATTTGGTTGGCTGGGCTGAAAAGCTCCCATTTTGTGTCAGCTGACAATGATGGAACACACAAGGAAAGTCCCTAATATTTGATTCTTGCTTGGTGAAAACTGTAAGTGTAACTTGGCAGCAAATGCTTGTGATTTTTGTGCATATGAACCCTGCTTCTGCCCCTGCGGAGCTGTCCTGATAAACGAGGCTCTGGAGCCCTTGTCCTGCAGCCCCGAAGCCCCAGTCCATCAGTGACTTGCTTATGGGGTGATTTATTAAAATCTCTGGAACCAGTAAGTGTTGTCTCTCTCCTTCCTGGACTGGGTGTAACACTACCACAATTCAAGTTCTTGTAGCTGTTTGTTTCTAGATCCAAGGACGGGCTCTAATAACAATGTAACTAAACAGTCTGATGACCTTGGACATTCACAAGAAGAGCCCACAGCAGAGATGACATTTTCTAGCATGCCTGGAAGCTAGAAACTGACCTTCCCCTCCAATCCCAGTTCTGCCATCAGCAGGGTGTGTGCCACTGATCCTTAAAACCTGCCACCAATTTTCCCAGGATTTTACACCAAACAACACAGCACCAGCTATACCATGTTTTCTTACTGTTCAATACTATTTAACTGTGCAAATCTGATGGCCTCCATGAGTACCCTAACACACATCACACTCACTCAAATACACACAATATAATAGGTAAACAAAAAATTAAAAAAACTAAAAAAAGAGTATACTTCAAGATGAAAGCAGAAGATAGTAATAAAATGATTAGAAATATTGAAATGGGGGGCTGGAAAGATGGTTCAGTGGTTGGCAGTACTGGCTACTCTTCCAGAGGATCTGGGTTCAATTCCCAGCACCCATATGACAGCTTGCAACTGTCTGTGGCTCTTGTTCTGGGAAACCTGACACCCTCATACAGACATACATGCAGGCAAAACACCAACGTACATAAAAAAAAAAAAAAAAAGAAATACTGATACAGCCGGTGAGATGTCTCAGTTGTGAGATGGTGCGGTGGGTGAAGACCCCCGCTGCCAAGCCTGGCATTCACCTGGTGGAAGGACAGAACTGACTCCTAAGGTGTCTTCTGACCTCCACACATTTGCTATCATAGTCACAGTAAATACATAAAACTCAAAAACAATCCTGATATGAGAATTTTCCAGCAGTTGTTAAAGTAATGCCTTACATAAAGTAGTCATTTAGATTTTTGACTATTCATATAAAATTACTAGAATTAATAAAATATTTATAAAAAATTACCAGTTGGCTAGGCAACTTTGGAGACACAATACCAGCAGGAAACCCTTGAGTGACATAATAGCACAGGCATCCAAAGGAATATGATACAGCAAAGGATCAAACACCATCTGCTGTGCGTGGAACTCTACAATTATGGTAAAAACAATGCCGCAGATGCTCTTGGGATATTCAGGCTAGCACTTACTAAAAGATAGCCTTGCAGAATTGTCACCAGGGAGATAAATATCACTCAGGAGGCACACACGACTAAAAGACACTTGCTTGTGGAACCAATGGCTATCTAAGAGAGCGTGTCTTCAGCAGTCAACCCTTAAAGACAGCAGCTGGACATACGGTGCTGACTGGTGGCAAAAATTACCTCCCATGCCCTCTATTCACAGACAACACTTCTCAGACTTCAGACAGAGCAGCACGTTCGAGCCAGAGATGGAAGCACAGGAGGGTGTGTGGCCATACCTGCTCTTCCAGCACTGTCTTTGCAGATGCTCGGCAGAGCCCTTGCAAAGTGTCAACAGACGAACTGATGAGCTCCAGAGACCACTGAAATCCATTCAGCTTGCCTTTGATAATACCTAAAAATTGAAAACCTGAATTTAACTGCTTACAAAATACACAGAACTACATACATAAAAAGCTGCAGTAAACAGCAAGGTCTCAAGACAGTCTCCATTAGACTCACCAGCTATTTTGTCCCGGGTGCTCCTGGGAAGGTGCTTTGCAATATGCCCAATGACACATAGTATATAACCTAAGGTGTTTGGATTTGGAGACTGTTCACTAGAGAAAAGGAGAAGGTGCCAAATTAAATAGCATGCTGCCAAAACCACCACTACCACCCCCACCCCTACTTACTCTGGATTATTGATATTAAAAGTCAAGTCGTTAAATGGCTTAACTGTCAAGTCTGGAAACATTAAGGTGCTTAATGAACTCTGACAAAAATAAACTGCTTAAATGTGATTCTTATTTTTTCAACTTGTTCTTAAGCCAGAATTTAAAGCAATAACTATTATAGTAGGCCATTTCCTGAAGACATGAGCTTTGCTTGCAGCCAATCGGTGTTTGCTAGTGACTACTTTATAAGCATGCAAACCTGCTGAGTTTCTCCCATGACTCCATTATTTTGGTGTAGTCCAGCTTGGGTGATGAGCAAGTGATCTTGGAGAGCAGCATCCACGCTGGTGCTGAGCGCTCGGTGTCAGTGTGGGATATCACACTGTTTATAAAAGTGGATGAGAATTTATCTTTCTTGGACCAAATACGAAAAGCCTTATTTAAATAGCAGCTAGAAAAAGAGAGAGAGAGAAGGAAAAGGAGAAATGTCACTATAAATACAGCAAAGTGTTCCGACCAAGCTCTCACTGGAAGGGATCAACTTCTGCAGTTCCAGGATTTCTCTGGCAAATAAAACATCCACTCAGTGAGCCCAGCCTTTTGCATATCTGATATCAAATAAGGTGTCTTAATTTTCCCTTCAGAATAAGTTGTCCTTATCTCCCTCCTCACAAAATACTATTTACAACAAAGGAGAGAATTGCAAAATCATTCCTTCCAAAATTTCCACACTAATAGCTTACTATAACAGGCAAGTCCATATTGATAGGAACAAAGCAACAAGAATAGACACACTCTTCTTTATTTAATGTGATACTGGAGAGAAAGGATATCGTAGCATTTAAACATGGCATAGCAAATGAGCTAGAACTTGCTATACCTTAGTAATACGTGAACAAAATTTAAAACGCTTCCAATGTACAATATCCATGTTACTGTTTTGTGTGTTATGTGGTAGGTCCATGTTCTTGAGGTTGGTGCTGAGTGTCCTTCTCAATCACTCTTCACCTTATCTTTTGAGTCAGGGTCTCTCACTGAACCTGGAACTCACTGTTCAACTACACAAGCTGGCCAGCAAACCTCAAGGATCCTCTCGGCTGCCTTCCCAGTGCTGGCATTGTGGCCATGTGCCACCACACTCATTTTTTTTTTTTTTTTTAAATGGAGAATGGGTCCTGGGAATCCAAAATGCAGGTCTCCAAACTTGTGGGGTAAGCGCAGAACCAACTGATGCATAGTGCCCTTCACTCTTGTTTTAAATCACTTTTATGTTCTTTCCATAGCATGGAAGGAGATGCTATGACCCATGAGACAATGCCACAGTATACATTTGAAAGAAGACAAAAACATGGCTCCCAGAGCTGGAGGGGTGACATGTGCAAGACGCTGAATCTGATCTCCTGCCAAAAGAAAGGATGAAGGGAAAGGATGGAGGGAAGAAACCAAAAAGAGAAGAAATAATAACAAAATGAGATTATATTCTTCCTTTGTGCTCTTGTAACACACTTCCTACAAAAACTGACTTTGCTCTGCGAAATTTCCACCAGGTTAAGAGCAACCTAAAGAGAGTGAGGTGTCAAGTCCTGCAACTTTTGAGCACTGAGAGCAGGGCATTAAAAATAAAGTACTCAAAATGTTTGTTAACTGAACTCACTAGACCTCCTCTTCTATGTCCTTCTACTCTCCACACCAACACTTGTTAAGCAGCTCTGAGACGCCTCCTTCCTCCAACTCCATTACCTCCACCTAATTCTATCCTTGTTACCTATGACTTAAGTCACTTTTACACAGGTGGTGTGGGAGGTCCTTCTGTCTATGTGTTGCTTTATTCCCTTTAAAGGAACTGCTTTGGGCCTATAGCAGAGCTATAGGGGAACAGAGCTAGGTGGGGGAAAACTAAACGGAATGCTGGGAAGAAGAAGGCAGAGTCAGAGAGATGCTATGGAGCTACAGCCTGAGTCAGACATGCCGAAACTTTGCTGGTAAGCCACTGCCATATGGCGATACACAGATTAATAGAAATGGGTTAAATTAATGTAAGAGTTAGCCAATAAAAACCTAGAGCTAATGGGTCAAGCAGTGATTTAATTAATACAGTTTCTGTGTGGTTACTTCAGGTCTAAGCTTGCCGGGCAGCTGGGAACCCAACACACAGGTCTGTGTTTTCAACCTATAGCTTGATCCCTGTGGTCTTCGAATATAAATCTATTCTCTGTAGGTCCTAAAATGTAAATGCCTATCTTCTCCCTCTATATGAGTTCATCAGCAACTTCTTCCTCGCTATTCTGCTTTTAATGTAAGGCCAAGCTTCTTGGCATGCTGTATTATAAAGCTCCCATTTACTTTGTGTCCCAGGCCCCCTACAGTCACACCAGCCATCAGTGCACTGAGGTGCTAGTGTAGTACACACAACCTCATGCACCCAGGGCCGTTTTCTCCCCTGGATGTGCTTCTGCTCCTTGCTAGCTTTCAAGAGCCGGGTTGGGGAGCTGGAGAGATGGCCCCATGGTGGATAATCCATATGGCTCTTGCAGGGAACAGAGTTTGGGTCCCAGCAGCCAGGTTGAGTGGCTTACTACCAACTATGACCCCAGCCTGCTCCCTTCTGGCTTCTGTAGACACCTGCACTCAAGTGCACATACGCTAGGAAAATATACAGATACACATACAATTTAAAAAAAAAATCTTAAGTATAAAGTCAATTCAAAGGTCAGGTATCTTAAAAAGCACTTGTTCTCTGTTGACTAAAGATCTTAACATAAATCTTGTATATTACTGTTTATAAAACTCTTGATTCCATCAGCCTTATTGTTCTTAGTAGTGCTTTCTGGGGGTATGTATATATGTATGTATGTATGAGCATGGGTGTGCATGTCTGTGGGTGATGTGCCCAGAGCATGTGTAAGCACATACACATGTGTGGACATCAGAGGTGACTTCCTCCAACACTATCCATCTGACTTGTTTTGATTTATATGTTAAGAATGCATATGTTTGTGTGTGTACTTGTGGGTATGTGTATATGTAGGCCACAGGTCTATGTCAGGAGTCTTCTTCCATTTCATTTATTTAAAACAGGGTTGCTTACTAAGGCTGGAGTTTATCAATTTGGTTGTAGTACTATCTCGCCAGTAAGCTGGTATTCTCCTGTCTCTGCCTCTCTCAGAGCTGGGATTACCAAGCCCAGCCTTTTATGTGTGTGCTGTGGATCCAAACTCAAGGCCAGAATCCTGACCTTGCACTTTACCACTGAGCCATCTCTCCAGCTTCCTCCACCTTTCCTGCACTGAACCTGGAGTTCACTGAGCACCCAGGCTTACTAGCCAACGAGCTCCAGGGCTCCAGCTCCATCTCCTCGCTCTGTCCCCAGCACTGCATTAACAGTTACCTGCTGCTATGAGGGCTGGGGATTCACACTCACATCCTCACATCTGTGTTGACAGTGACACCACTCGGCCAGCCATCCCCCAGGCCCTCTAATAATACCTTTTGCTTTTCAGAATGGTTCTCCAGATCAGTGGCTCTCTTATATTTTCAGTGCAAGACTTCTTCAAATTTACTTACTCACTTTCTCATGTATACGCATTTTTAGTGGGCCTTGTGCGTACTAGGGAAGTACTCCTACCACTGAGCTATACCCTATGCAGAGATCCTTTAAATCCTTTAAAATTAGTCATCATCCCCAAAGAACTTTTGTGTATATATGATGGAGGAAGGTCATTGGTTAATTATAATAAACCAACTGCTTGGCCTCATAGCTTAGAACATAGATGGGAGGAGTAAACAGAATAGAATTCTGGGCGGAAGAGGAAGTGAGGTCAGACTCTGCTCTGCTCCCAGAGAGACCCGACAACTCTGCTCTCTGGAGCAGAGACACCAGGATGGACGGAGGCTAGACTCTTCCCGGTAAGCGTACCTTGGGGTGCTTATACACATTACTAGAAATGGGCTAGTCCAGGTGCGAGAATTAGCCTGTAAGGGCTAGAGTTCATGGGCCAAGCAGTTCTTTAAATGAATACAGTTTGTGTGTTGTTATTTCGGGCATAAGCTAGCCAAGCGGCCGGGGTGTTGGGGACGCAGCCCCGCCGCTCCATATTACTACATATATAGGATGGATGGAGAGGTGCACGTGAATCACACAAACACACACACACACCACCACCACCACCACATTAGGAACTTAAATGTTTACTACTTAAAAATTAATAATACGTTGGACCTGGACCTGGTAGTACAAGCTTGTAATCCTAGTTACTCAGCAGGACGAGACAAGAGGATTGCAGATTCATCGACATCCTGGGCTACAGAATCAGGTGAAGGCCAGCTTGGGCAATTTAGCAAGATGCTATCTCAAGATAAAAAGCAAATAAGAAAGGCTGAGGACACAGCTAAGTGGCAGAGCACTTGTCTAGCATACATAAAGTCATCTAGGACACTTCAATCCCTATTGCTGAAAATAAAAACCAAAAGCAAAAAAAAAAAAAAAAAAAACTAGAACCACCAAAGCAACATTTATATCAGTATGAGTAATAGTATTCTTTTCACAAACAGCTCTTCCCAAACAAAGTAAATGGGGCGAGTCACTGCTGCATCCCTTTGTAAACCTCGTAAGTCTGGCTCAAATACAAATGGGGTTCTTGTATCTGCTTCTGTGTGCAATCTGTTCCAGTACTGTCATATTGCTTCTGGAACTTCAACCCTATAATTATGAAAGAATAAAAGTGAAAATGCCAAGAAACCTCTTAATGTTGTGAATAAAAGCTGTACCACTGCCCTAGCCCATGTCTGCACAACAGTTCCACATGACCGCACACTTTAGGCCTCCTTTCTACACTCCTCACTTTGGGGTAATCCCGATGGCTGCCTTATTAGGGGAAGAGGGAAGAGAAAGCCCCAGCACTCACTTATAAAGTTCAGTTCTTCCTGTAACCTTCCACAGGCTTCTTCACTAAATATCCCTCATCTTTCACTCACCCTCTATAGTCATCTGTCTTTAACCTCTGACCTCTACATAAACCTAGATTCAGATAGGTCTGCTCTATCTGAGCATGAGAACAATACTAGGAGGATGCTGTGAAGCTAAAAAAGCATAAGGTAAGCCTCAATTTCAGACATAAACACGCCCACAGACTTAGGAAATGCAGCAACTCAGGCCAGTTGTGATGGCTACTCTTGGTTATCAATTTGACTACACCTGGAGTTAACTCAAACCCAAATGGCTGGGCACCTGAGGGACTGAATCATCTGAAGTGGGGAGACCCCATTCCAATCCGTATATTTGAGGCAAGGTGGGAAGGCCCACCATTAATGTGGGCCATACCCTCTGCTGGCTGCCCACATAAAGGCCACGGAAGGAGGACGACTGCTCTCTTTGATTTCTGCTCTAATTTTCGCTAGCAAGCCCATTTCGTTCAATGGAATTAGAGTCTACTTTTTCAGGATCCTAGCATA